GCCGGACCCCCGGGGGGTGGGAGGGCCCGGCCCAGCCTGCTGCGTCGGGCTGCAGGAACGTGCCGGCGGTCGGCGCAGGGAGCGTCGGGAGGCAGAAGGCGCCGGCCGGCAGGGCCCAAGAGGGAGGGGCCGGCGAGGCGCAGGGGGATGATGTCACGGGGGAAGGGTGGCTGGGAGGCGTCGCAGGGGAAGTGACGTGGAGGGGGAATGGAGCCGGCGGGGGATTTAAACCCGGGGCCGGCACGGTGCAGGGGAGCGCGGCGGACCGAGCTGGAGGAGGGGAGAAGGAAGGAGAGGTGAGGCCAGCGGGGTCAAGGGAGACGGGCCGGGAGGCCTGGTGGGGTAGGAAGCGGCCCAGGGCGGGGTCGTGGAGCCCGTGAGCGGGTGTGTTTTGGGGCGTTCCCCCATCCGCGAGGGAGGGACCACGGGTCCCTGCCTTTAGGGCCCTGGGCCGGGGTTCGGAGAGGGGGCGGGCCCGAACCCCCCTACTCCGCCAGCAGGCCGACCCGGCTCGGGTGTCACGCGAATGTGCGTAATAAAAGGGCCACCGGCCTTAGTGGTGACCGCTCAGGCTGATCTCTCTGTACCACAATTAGCTCATAGTGGACGCTGAGGGACGAACCAGTTTACAACTGCCGCCGAGTTTTGTCAACGGCGGTAAACCTCATTCTACGAGGAATAACGCCTTTTGTCGACAGTACTGTTGCCAGAAGGCGTGATTGCATCTACACTGTCCTTTGCGTCTACACTGTCCTGTCGACAAAGCAGCTTGCTTTGTCGACAGAACTGGATGTAGTCTAGATGCTCTTTGTCGACAGAAGCTTTGTCGACAGTAGGGGTGTGTCTAGACTACAGGGTTTTGTCGACAAAAGTGGACTTTTAAACTATACCTGCGTCTACACTGCCGCCGAGTTCTGTCGACATAACGTTGACAGAACTCGGCAGTTTTGTCAACGGCGGTAAACCTCATTCTATGAGGAATAACGCCTTTGGCCAAAAGAGTACTGCCAACAGAAGGCGTTATTGCATCTACACTGTCTTCTGCGTCTACAGTGTCATATCAACAAAGCGGCTTGCTTTGTCGACAGATCTGGATGTTGTCTACTCAGTCTAGACACACCCTTAGGGTACGTCTAGATTACGTGCTTTTGTCAACAATTTGGGTGTGTCTAGACTACAGAGTTTTGTTGACAAAAGTGGACTTTTGTTGACAAAACGATACCTGCATCTACACTGCCGCTGAGTTCTGTCGACAGAACGTCGAAGAATGCGGTAAACCTCATTCTACAGCAGTATCTATCAACAAAACTTCTGTCGACAAAGAGCGTCTAGGCGACATCCAGTTCTGTCGACACAGCAAGCTGCTTTGTCGACATGAACAGCGGTGTAGACAGTGGACTTTTGTCGACAAAACCCTGTCGTCTAGACACACCCATACAGTCCCTCCCCCTTGGCAACCCTAGAGAAACCCCCCCCCCCCCCCAACGTCACACCTCACAATAGAAATGCTAATCCAGGAACCGATCCCTGTGGCCAGTTCTTCTACCCCTCTACCACCGTGACCTCACCGCATCAGCCGTCCCGTCAAAGGCTCCTTCAGGTGCACGGCTACGCGTGTGAGATTTTCCGCCACGTTCCGGCTGCACCCCTCCGCCCTCTGTCATCCCCGACGGCCTTCACACACACGAAGAAATGGACGCCACGCAGCCCTCCCCAAGAGCAGCCCCCAAAATCCCAACCGCGGGGGGCACTTTCACCGCCCTAGATGAACTGTTTCGGGCCGTTCTCACGCAAAAAAAAAAGAAATCAGTGAAAACAGACCTCTATGAGGAACTGCCGAGCTGGAATTTGTGGGCCAATTTCGCCATCCCGAAACAGGGACTGGTTCTCCCAGTGCAAGAGGTAATTCCCATTCAGAAATTACTCTCCCTGTCTCATCCGCCACACCCACACTAATTGGATTCGCACTGAGTTTTCTAGCAGAGCGCCCCGAGGATCGGTTCTGGGACCGGTTTTGTGAAGGAGCTGGAGGAGGGGTGTCAGCCGACGGTCAGGGCAGTGAGTCCCTTATGACCGGCTGAAGTTCTTTTAAATTGTGCTTGGTTCTGTTACAGCAACTGAAGGAGTCAGGTTAAAGCTTAAACAGTTACTATTTTATTGTTACAGGGTAAACTTAGCTGTTAAATGCTACTGCTGTGTTAC